TTCTTTAAACATTGATATTCTTGCGAATTTTTTTACGTACAGAACGTTTGAAAAATGTTGAGCAAAGATTTGCTGTAATCAAAAAAGATTCGCAATAAAGTCAAAATAGGAATGTAAAGTGCCCTCTATAAAACTCATAAACTGCAATAAATTATAAAACTTGCAATAAATTATAAAACTCGTTTAAAAATAGCGGGATTATATTATCACAATAACTACGTACATGGTACAAATAGTAGTAAGGACACGTTGAAACCACATACACATTTAGATTAACTTTTTCTTCCTGTTTTTACCCAGAAACCATTGTCTAACATTTTGGAACAGTCTCTGAATCAGAATTTATCGAAGCTGCAATCTTTATAATTAATTTCCTTGTGATTGTAAACGGGTGCACGAGCATATGTACTCTATTAATTTTTACTGCGTTTCCATTCTCCCGTGAAAGTCGAACAGGCCTCGCTAACGAGCTGTTTCGTTTTAATAAAAGAACAGCAGTGAAAATAACACATCTGCCATGTGGTATTATGGAGTAGCAATTATCGTTAAATAAGCTTCTGTAACAATGCAGTGGCAATAATAATTGAAAGAGAGCGCAATGGATGCATTGGAACGATTTCCTTGAAACAATACAAGGCCTAACTCGATCGCAATTTTAATTACAACGTTAAATTGCAAGAGAATCGAATTGCCGAGTGCCGATAAATAAATCTGCATCCCTCGAATAAAGGTCTCACGTGTTACGCGTTCCAGTTTGAGCGTGTACTTTCTCAGGAGCGCAAATGATTTTATAACACAGTGCACTCTGGTGCGCAGTTAAATTAGAAAGCCTAGCAAAGAGTAGGAATAAGAGCGCAGGCTGGAATGATAAAGGTTACTAGAAACGAGCGGCCCGTTCATCGGTGGATCGAGAACTATTTCAGAGAGGATTCCAGGAACGTTTCGAACGGAGAAATCGAGAGACACGCTATGCTCTCATTTCAACTGGTCGCGTATATGGGCCTCATAGTGCCTGTTATCGTCTGTTACCTTGTGGTAGAGCCAGGCATCTTATCGCAAACAAACAAACTTCTTTATGCCGATTATACTCGGTTCTCTCGAATCGACCTTTCCTCGAACCGACCGTCCAAGGGCGCGCCATCCGATTAAGGTCGAGAGTCAACGATTGTCCGAAATACACTTCACGCGACATTAATACTGTTTTACATATGTATCTCTTTCTTTATCGTATCTACGCTCTGTGTATTCGTGCCGCGTTTGATTATCACGCTTGTTAATCCTCTATAATTAATACTCCAGTTTTCGTCGTTACTCATTAATCATGGTTTTCCTTTGCTATCTAAAATTAATAATTACTATAAGTATCTGTTTGATATCAATATACAGAGATAAAGTAAAATGCACATAATAAGTAAATGAAAATTAATTTTTCACAAATGGTAAATTTTATGGTCATTGAATTTTATTTGCGCAGCGAAATTTCACTTCCATCTTCCCTCACTTATGTTAAAAATTTTGATTATTAATAAAAAGATCTTCTAACGGTTAGTCTGAAAATCTATTCGAATTCTAAAAGCTTAGAACATTTAAGAGACTAGAACGAACTCAAGGATTCAAATGCTATAAACAAAGAAGTACTGTTAATAGAAATATATATACAGTATATATTACGGAGTATAAAAGAAATAAATATCAGTGTATATATATATATACTGGATCCGGCCAAATAATATGCAAAAGACGAGCACGATGTGATTACTTAAAAATAAAAAAATAAGAAAAATATATAAAACAAAATTTTTAATTTGAAGCTTTCGAGAAAACCAAGTTTATTAAGTATATTTAAATTTAGCCAATTCTAAACGTGACAGAAAAAAATAATTAACAGGAGGTTATTCTACATGCAAAAATAAGCAAAAAATATCAAATAAAATTTTCTCATTTAAAGCTTCATCTCAAAGAAAATATATTTGGTTAAAAATATAGTCTTAGTGTACTTAGTACAAATTACCTTGATTACTATGTAATCAACTATTAGAATTTTACTAGAATCATTACTAGAAAATTATCAGAATTAGTCGAGTATATTTGATAAATTTTCAAACTCGATTTTCTCGGAAACGAAGCTTCAAGTCAAAAACTTTTATTCTATTTTTTTTTCTTATTTTCTTGTAAGGAATCACGTGTTCGCTTTTGCATATTACATAGTCGACCCAAAAGTGTTATGGCAGGTTGACAGGGTACTGCTAGATATCAGTCTGTTACAAGAATAATTTTGCTAAAAAACTGCAACCAAGATTATAGAAATTTAAAAATAATTTTTGTTTTCATTTCAATGTTAAATTTTATGTTACTGTTATAACAAGATTATATGTCTGTATAATTTTTATATAAATTTTAATTTTTATTGTCTAGATAATTTTTATCATAGACATTATTATACTAATAATTTAGTAGCACTTCCACATAACAACATTATCAAAAATATTGTTATTAAAAAATAAATAAATAAAAGATAAGTAAAAAATAAATTTAATAACAACGAATTAGCTTTTCTATCTATCAGTTTCAATTTTAAATAATTCTTTCAAAAAATGAAGCACAATTGAATATACATATGTTACATAAAATAAGGCATACACTATAACTGTCAAGGACACATTTACGTCCTCAAAAAAATATCTTGGAGCTCGTAAATTTTAACTTTTGCAAGTTTATAATCCTCTAAAGAGGACACGATACTACTGTTTATTTTTTGTAAACATACGATGAAAATATGCTAAATTAGAAATAAGGAGATTTAGCGTAAAGATTTTTTCTTAGAAAATTTTATTGTTTCGTAAATATTCACGTTTAAAAGCGAGAAATCATAAATCAAACAGAATGTTTATTCGATACACTCTTCAATATGATGATAGCTTAATGTAAAATTAATGCTACTATTAATAATTCCCCGTGCACGAAATAGAAACTGTATATTACGGGAAACTGTATATTATATGCAAAAATACTAAAAATATGTCAAAATTATAATAAAATTAATTAAAAAATTATTTATTGCAAATTAAACAATAAAAAGCATATGTAAATATAGATAACCAATTACGTTTTTAAATACATGCAAACACAATTTAAAATATTACTACGTAACATGATTTTTACATATTTTAGTAAGTAAATATTTACATATTTTATGGTGAATACCTATTTTTATCTTATTCAAAACATTGCCGCCAATTACTATGAGTATTATGATATTATATTAATACAATATTTTAATAATATTTTTATTGCAATATCTATAATAAAAATATTAATTTTTAATAATAATAATAATAATATGATATTTTAGAAATAATAAGATGCTGTTTATTGAAAACACATCTGATACAACTGACAATTTCAAATATTCATAATGCTAAATGTATTGAATAGTATATCATTAAACAATGTATCATTACGTCAATTTATATGGAACCAACATACAAAAAAATGGAAACATTGCTTGAGTCACGAAATATTCAAAATAAATATGTATATTTCTCTGTAACACCTACAATGACAACATTATTCAACAAGTTTACAGATTTGTATGTTTTATGCTACAAAAAAAGAACAATTAGAACATTAGCAACATAAAGACAAAACTATTTTGAAATTTATGTTCCAGTTGATTTAAGAAAATACTAACCAAAAAAATGTATGTAATGAAAGTAAACCATTTGTCTATGAATATTTTTTCTATTCGAAACTTCTTATTATATAAATAAGTGTTAATTTAAGTAACTTGCAGGAGGAAGAATAACTCAATGAGAAATGGAAAATTTGTACAAAAATAAGCATTTAAAAGGATAAAGGTGAACGTACCTTCCATGCTCGTTCTCGAAGCGTCTCCTACGTGTATATACAGTTACAGCTGCACAGTGTAGATTCAAATTTTAAGGAACCTCAGAAGTGCTTTTCACCAATAGAGCTATCACTTTCAAAGGCTATCACTGTCTGACTTCATTTGTTTTACATTTGCAACAGAATTTGCGAAGAAATTCCGATTCGGTAGATATATTTCAGCGTCCCAAACAGGCTAATTTCCACCATTAGCGTTATTGCTTCTTAGAATTGGCACAAGGCGGCGCTCAAAGTGTGTATGTACATAGAATTATCTTCAATATTTAAATCGAGAATTTCACTTATTTAATACTACGATGAGATTTGAAAAATAAAATTTATTTCAAGAAATAAAATTGTACAATGAAAAATAAATGTAACGTGATGTCACACATAGAATTTATATACTACGTACATATGTATATTTATAGTGATATACTCGTTGTTATAAATTATCGATATTTATCAGTACATATTCATATCTGACCCTTAAAAATATTAATATTTACAATCTGTACACTTGCTTAAAACTAAAAAATGTCACGGAGATGATTATATTACATTATTACCATTATATTATTAACCATATAGAAACATTTATACTACAATTCATGATTAACATATATACATTAGTTTTAGTGTAAAAAATATAAGTATGCCCTTAATGTTAAATTATATTTCATAATTTCTTGTTAAAATCACAGTACATATTTTTAGAATTCTTAAAGGAATTAAATACGTAACTAAGTTTCGATGAGTTTAGGAATACTGGATATGTATTTATCTTTTTACTTCCTCGGAGATGGAACTTCTCATTGCTTTAAACATAAATACATAGTAAGATCATTCGTCAGCTTCATTTTGGCAGTGGTAGTCGAATATTCCTAAATTCATAAAAATTTTAATCGTAACCAAATTATTACAAGAAAATGATCTTCAGCGCCATCTGTTAATGTAATGAACAAGATCCTGCTGAAATTAGTTTCTGATAACATAAAATACAATTTTTCGAAAGAATTATAAAGAAAAAAATCTTATCAATACTAAACTTTATTATTAACATATGTAAAAATGAACTATTACATAATGTAATTATATGTTCATGTTGACTGAAGATAACAAGTAAGGTAATTTTATTATTTAATTACTTTACTTGTTTCAAAAAACACAATCGTTAGATGTATGTTTTGTAGATGGTAGAAGAGAAGCTCTCCATTTTCTTTTTAACTATACTTGTGTTACTTGTGTCACAGTATGATTTGTGCCTGTATTTCCATTATTTTCCATACAAATATGTTTTCCGATGTTCCTAGGAATTTTCCAACTTTTACAGAAAAGTTTCTTGAACGTTTTTCTGAATTGTCTGCTCATAGTGCAATATAGTATGAAGTTTATGGCTGAATTTACTAGCGTTAACATGTCAATAATATCACCTGAAAATTGATAAAGTTTTTTAATATTTATTAATACTAGCAAATTGATTTCTTATATTACAAAAAATATTCTTCATATATTTATATACTTATTTATATATATTACTATACTTATATAATTTATATTATATATAATTTATAATATAATTTATATTAAATTTTTTATAATTAATTTATATTATATATAAATTACATAAAATTTTAATTTATTTTTTAAACAAATAAAAACATACATATACATAAATTATACAAAATATAATTATAGTTAAATTATTAATTAAATTAATATTTTATATATAATTTATTAAAATTAAATATATAATATATATTATATAAAAAAATTAATAAAAAATTCTTTATATAAAAATTAATGAAAATTAAATAAGGGAATTAAAATTAATAATTATAAATTAAAGTGCCAATAATAGCGGTTAAACTTATAAGTTAATAATTAACAAATTTTATTAAAATAAATAATTTATATAAAAAAATTAATAATTATAGGTGAAATTTAAATTATTTATTATAAACATATTTATTTATTATGTAATATATAAAATAATAGTAAATGAATAAATAAATATACAGAAATGTAAAGAATTTTTTTTATAACATGAAGAATGAAAATAGTAAATGAATAAATAAATATACAGAAATGTAAAGAATTTTTTTTATAACATGAAGAATGAAAATTTTTGACAAACATACACTTATTAATTTTTTATTATTATTTTATGTATGTATATATATATAATAAAATAGTAATAAATATATAAATACATATATATGTATATACAAATATGTTATCTATAATAATATACGTAATACTTCCTAATATTATACATAAAAAAAATTTTTTATTTTTTATAAAATATAAAATTTATAGAATAAATATACAACAAGAATTTTTAAATATTGATAAATTAATAGTAATGAAATAAAATTTTGCAATTCTTCACAATTTCTTTCTTGCACGCATATGTTGAAGGTTATTTAGTAAATATTTCTTGTATTTTTAAACTTTTCCTAACTGTAATACTGATACAATAATGGTTCATACTACTTTTACATTTAAGTGACGATAATTTTCTTTTGTGAAGACGGAAAACCAATTTTCACAAAAATTCTCTTTTTTCGAATATATGTATATTTCTTATTTTTCTATATTTGTTATATTTCCTATTTTTCTATTAAACATATAATTGATAAGAAAGTTAATGACTAAAAATTTTAAATATCAAATAAATATAAAAAATCACGAAAAAATATCACAAATCTGAATTTTGATAATTTTGTATAATTTATTCAATTGGTATATCTTACTATGTATGTAGTTGATTATAATTTATAAAAATAATGCTTTTAATTCTTTTATATTTGTATAGTATATATTTTTATACTTTTATATGCGTGTTCTTATACATAATCTTTAAAATACATTAACAATATAAAATAAATATTATTCAGATTCTGCTTGCACTCTGCAAATTAACACAAGTTATACAACAAATTTTTTATACTAAACTTTTAATTTGTTACCTAATTGTTAAGCAAGTTAGGCAAGTTATGTTTGTTACAAATAAAGTAGCTGTCGCGAGAGAAGCGGAAAATTTTCCAATAAAGTTTTTAACAAGTTGTTTTTTAAATGGATCAGTACACTTTCAAAGTGTAAATGTTTTCTTTAGAAATAGAACTTTCCAATGTTTCTTTCTTTTAACTTGTCAAATAATGTGAAATCTTCACGACATTTTTTGATCTCTGCTTAGAACGGAGGTATAGCCTAACTAAATTATTTAATTCCTAAAATTCCCTTGTATACATTTACAGAATTATTTTGAATTAATTTGAAAACTGATACATAATTTTTTTTGGATTCGTTTGAATATCAATCATTTTTTTTTTTGTATTATCAAACAAATAAAAATTAATGAAAGGATAAAAAATACTATATTCTTAAAAATGATGTAAATAATTAAATAATTCAAATTTTTATTAATTATATTGGAAATTAAGATTATTATAGAAACATCGATATGCTATAAATTTATATTACGATCAGGTTTCTTCAGCTAGACTAACAATCACGGATAATGTGGATAATAATTTTATCCGGAGTATCATATGTATCAAATATATTCAACATTTTAAATATTGGATTGTAAGTTATCTGTTTAAATTCACACATATTATTAATTTTTAATGTAAAATACTGCTTTCAAAATTTACCTCAGTTTATTTAATTTCTTCGTCGCGTATTCAGATATAATGATACATAATTTTATTAAATTTATTAAAATATCAATAAATATTAAAATAACAATTAATAATTTAATAAATAATTTAAATAAAATATTTAAAAACTGTTTATAAATATTTATCACAATTGATTTTTATAAAATAGACACAGTATTCATTTAGAAAAGTAATGAATGTAGTAATATATAAAAGTCGTTTTTCAAAATGTAGAATACTTCTATAATGATTACACAATGATGAAAAAGAACTAGATTAAAATTATATGAATTATTTGATGAACTAGATCAAAATTATATGAATAATTTACACGTTTGGGATTTAAACTTGAATTGAATGAATATGAAACTAACTTTATTGTACATGAAACAACTGATATTACATATAATATTCATTATATCAAATTACATTATAGTTTAATATAATTTGATTCTAAATGTAATTATTCATTGAGAGAAAGAGAGAGAGAAGACCCGAATTATAAAAATGTTATTTGTTCAATTAATAAAAAAAAAAAAATGTTTGTCATACACAATGTAAAGTCCTCACAAATAATCATTAAGAAAGAATTCGCATAATATATTTATGTCATTTTATTTGCAGAAATAGCGAGAACGTCACAAAATTGACCACACATGTAACAAATTTCCATAATAAAATCAATAATGGTCGTTTAATTCTGTTGTGTATCCCTTTGCATGTATGTATGTAAGGCTTCTGACTCTTTCGGCATAGATTCTACATTTTGGAATACGAGATATTCTTTCACGTTTCCGCAATTTTTATTTTTACCTCTGTGTATATTTGTTTGAAAATCTTTCAATATTCTCTTTTTAATTCTTGCCACACATTCCAACTGGATTTAAATCTGGTTACTGACTAACTATTCGAACTACTTTCCATACATTGTATAGTAACCATTCTTTTACAATATACATTGAATGTTTCGAATTGTTATCATGCTAACAATAATATACGGGGAAGCATTTATACATTTCTATCCGATTGTTTCAATTTATTTTTTAATATACTGAAATATTTCATTTTATTCGTAGCTACATCTATAAATTCAATATTTCTAATTCCATTGGTTACTATACAGGACTGTCTTTATTAAACAGAGATTGTTAATCTCTATAGAATTACTAGAATAACCAAAACGGCTACTTAGTTAGTTGTAATTTTTCATAAAAATTTGCTGCATTTTTTTGATTCTCCGTGAAGCAGTAATGTGAAACAACGAAAAGAAAACTGAAATCCACTCCGTTTGAATTCTATTATAGTGTGACATTTTTAAATTACGTGTCTGTTAGGGTATGTATCTGGCAAGCATAAGAAATTGTTGAATTTCAATGATTACAATTATCTTTGGTAAGAGTAGGTACACATCACATATTATATAAGGTGTCTCATTTTAATTTATCCACGCAGTTATCTCCGCAATTAGTCATAATATATGTTTGAAATAAGACTTGTTTTGTTTCGAAAGAGACATTTTATGATGATCATCAGATTTGTCTAAAGACATTTCTGAGATCTCAAAATTATTTCTATTTTTTTTAAATAAAATCATATCATATTTTTTTATATATCAAAAAAATTACTAATTTAGAGGTATTTTAACTTTAACTTTATAAAATCTATACATGACAGACAAAGATAGTATAAATACGAAAATATTGTCCTTGTCTTCCTTCATCTTTCGAGCGATAAATTTTACAAAATCAAAGTTAAAATATTTCTTAAACTGACAGTTTTTCGATATATATAGGTTTTTTTATCGAGAATTTTTTAATAGAGAACTTTTTATGTATTATCGACTAATACATAAAAAAATATATAATTCCATCTAAAAAATGGAGATGACCTTCATAAGATGTAATTATAAAATGTTTCCCTTAAAGCAGAAATTTTATTTCAAATATATATTACGAACAACTGCATGGATAATTTAAAATGGGTCATTCTATAAAAATAACAAGAATGATGGCTCACGTAATATAAACTTGTTACAAAACAAATATGTGTATTCACCAACAGCTTATAAAGAATTAAGATTTCAAAGATTTCGTGTAAAATATATAAGTGAAAGTTTATGTTCCCTATTGTATAAATTTTTTTCTACTTTTTTACATTTTAATCTGAAATAGGCTTTGTACTTTGGCCTTAGTAATTCTAGTTTTGAATATTGCATTTGATCATATCAATTTTTACTTTATCAGAAAATAATACATTATTTCAAAAACTTAGATCACAATTTGAATTTGAAATATTTAAATCTACCGATTTCAGAAATCTTTTACAAATTATTCTTTCGTTGTATATATGTAGCTGTTATCTCGAAAAATTTCACTTGCTGTTTCTATCGAAACAGATCGCTAAGTTTTTTGATCGTTAAATGTCTATTATTAATTTAGGAGTACTAAAGAAGCTACATTAATTTGGTGAGTTAAATATCAATCGTTCACTTTATTCAAAATTCTTTTTGTTCCTCATTATATGTTGCATAATGTACTGGTACTCGTATACAATACCTCCCATTACCAAATTAATAATGTATGTTAATAGAATTTTCGGACAATAGGACAGACAATAGAACAGACAATAGTCTTTGATATTAAATTGTATGTATGCATTTAAATGAAGATGAAGAAAATTGTCAATTTATTTCAATATTTAGAACGTAATTTTTTGCTAGTGCACAGTTTTGTAATTTTCTCGTCATATAAAACAATCTTCGTCATTTTCGTTGGTATTTCGTTAATTTCGTTGATTTATTGCAGAATTAAAAATAGTTTCTTATACCATATCCCATCAATATTCCTAAGATGTATCTCGTTTTAATAAGTTCTTAAGTAACATCTAATGATCATGTAGAACAGTGAGAAGAAGCATCTGTTCTAATAATAGGATGTTCGAATAATAGAACGTTCAACATATTATAATGAAAGTTCAAATATGAGAGGCTTCACTGTAGCTCTTAATAATTTTCCGTACGACAGAACAGTAACTTCGTATTATTTTCCCAATTTCTCTTATCCTTACAAAATTTTGTCACAAATTTTCATACAAAAATATCCGTTTGTCTTCAGCTATCATGTGTACTTTTGTTATTAAACAATAACAAAAATATCGATCAAACATAATATAGCAACGAGGAAAAAGAAAGGTGATACAGATAAAAATAATTTGAAACATTTCTATCGAAAAATGACTATTCAAAAACATAGGTTTCAATCAATTTTTCTCTTATACGCACAATTTCGATTCGACGATGAAATATACTGCATTTTTTTATTTTTGTTAGCAAAATTCCACAGATTCATTGTTTTCTTTTTAATGATTAAATATTTGTTAGGATGTTGTATATACAAAATTTTCATTTGCAAAAAAATTGGTCGTTTTTTTTTTTTAATCGAACAAATAAAACTTTTGTAGCTCATGTGTGGTCAATTTTTTTGAGTGACGATTATTGGTTATCTAGTTTGTTTGTTCAAAAATATAATATTTACATAAATTTTGAAGATATGATAAATTTAATAAGGAATTATTATTGAAAATATATCTTTTTTTTCGAAAATGCAAAATTACTTTGGTGACTGAATTATGTTGCAATGTGATAGTGGTGATAAATATACAATTTTCTAAAAATATTATTTAGTAAAAATATGTGTAAAGTATTCGTATATTCAATAAAAAATTATCGAAAATTTTAAACTCTTATAATTACGAAGAAGAAATCGTAAAACAAGTTTTAAAACATAATGGATTTAGTTTCTCAAAAAACAAAAAAGTTTTTCATATTTTTATATAGATGTTTGAATTTGTAAAATTGTCGAGTATCTTTATTTATCTTCCAAAATAAAATATTTTTCGGAATTGACTTAATATTATAAAAATAGAGGTTTAACACTTTAAAATAAGTTATAGCAATTTAAAATATCAATAGTGAGAATGCTGTCATGCCGAAAAACTTTATAATTATTAGAACTTCATGAAAAAAATTATAAAACAATTCATTTGGGCTTAAAATAGCCTCTACTTTCTCAGTATTGAGTAGTTTTTTTTTCAGAAATTCAAATGTGTCTTCATGGACAGTGAAAGATTTTTTCCATAATTGAATTCATTTCATCATGATCTTGAAGAATGAAGTTTTCTCATAAAATTTCTTATATGAAATTTTTCATAAAGTACGGTTTTTGTGTAAATTCATATTTTTAAGAATATAACGAGAAACAAAATAGAAATTTGATAAAAAATTGTTTTGCATGTCAAATATTACAAAGAATATTATACCTTGTTTATATTATGCGCATCATATGCAATTTCATATTTTATGACTTCCTACAGATGCATAAAAGTCTGCAATCGAGTTTACGAATTTATAGTGGACTTTCTACATCCACTAGAACTCTTTCATAAATATTAACTTTAATTCGATCATTACTATCTTACTATTTATACAACTACTTATATACTTTATACATTACAGTACCATTGCATGCAACTTTTAGCCAGTCGAATTTCTTACCTTAAAAAAAATACATGTTCTAAAAATTTCGATATAGTACTGACCTAACATCAAGTAGCAACTCGAGAAGAATTCTGAGCCAAGGAGCACGCTAAAAAGTCCCAAAATTCCCTGTGGTAATTCTGTCAACAGAAAGAGCAGCAACACTACAAGCAACATTATCGTAGTTCTATCAGTTTGTCGCTCTTTGTCCGCTCTTTGATAGCTTTTCCTTTTTTTGGTATGTTGCTCTTGAATATTAGTCAGCTTGTGCCTCCTTCGTTTTGCCTCTAGTAGAACTTGCAAAAGTTTCAAGCTGACAATCGTTAGGATGACACAAGGGAAAAGTTTTATTACCACGCTATAAACCCAGAAATTAAGTTGCTTCAAAATGGCATGATTCTCCGCCATTTCCGTCAGTCGAACAAAGTAAAGGGTTGTATTCGTCGTGTTCCCTAGGGAAAAATACAAAAACATTCTTTATTGTTCAATCGGAATAAACTCGTAATAAATTTCATTTCAACGATTAAATTTAGTTTTAATATTTAGAGTATAATTAATTAATTTTAATGTTTAAAAGCAATGTTCTGCGAATTTTTATGCATTTATGCGATGCAAAAATACAGAAGCAAAAATATATAAGACAATATTGCTGCTTTTAATAAAGCTCTGCTTAAGTTTCATTTTTTTAATATCAATATCTTTATATTGTAATTTTGTGAACAAAAAATCAGTTTAACAGTGCAATCAGTGTAACAAATTTTAAGGAATCATTGTAGAGGGAAAACTTTAAAATCTGTAAAACTATGATAGATTTAATTATGAAACAAATTTTTGAGTGCTTATAAAAGTATTTAAATTTTGCAAAATTTTCAAAGAAAAAACATTTTTATTTATTCTTCCTTTCAAAATGACGTATCCTTTTTCGTAATTCACTACGATTCTGAAGATCGAAGTTTCTCTTCTACAATAATTCTTTAATGTTGTATCATTTTCTTTTTTTTACAAAATGTAAGATATTGACAATCTTTTATCGAGTGCACGAATATTTTCTGCACTCGCTGCATAAATTTCCATAAAAACCCGCAATTTAATAACAGGGAATGAAAGTAACAGGTTCAATATTTTCAAACATATACATCATACTGAAATCAATCAAAAATTAAAGTAAATAACTTTTTGACGTTATAAAATCAAAATAAATTTTTCATGTTATAAAATTCTATTTTCTTAACGCTTTAAAATTACAATATCCTCCGTAAAAATTTTGCTCTTTCAATTTAGTCTTTCTAAATGTACCAATTGTAATTATAATGCAGTAATGTAATAAAGCACGGTTTTACTGAAAATATGGAATCAAAGTTAGAAACTATGACCGAGGACGATGATAACAGCTTTGGTCAGAGTCGAATGTAATATTACAATCGACCGTGGCTGCAATGCGGTTCAATCCTTAATTAGAGGCTACATGTCCCTAAAAGAAATATGAACCTTTATTTTGTTACCTAATTTTATTATCTAATTGAATAGTTTAAAAAGAAAGTTTCAACATTTGGGTGAATTATACGAATAGATAGCGAACAATGAACAGAATTATTAAATTCATTTTTCAGGCATACCTGATAAAATTACCATATAATCTGAAAAAATGCGTTATTGCGTAGAGTACGTATTTACATTACATTACAAAAATTTTCGTGTTTCATCAATTCATACTTTTTAATTGACTTAAATTCTTACAACTTTTAAATAATTTTGTTCATTTTAAATTTTTAATTTAATTATAAGTACAATTTTTATTTAATTCTTCTTTCATTGTAATTTAGCTGCATAAATGTTATGATTTTTTAAAATTATAGTTGTATTAGTTATTATGATTTTTTAAAATTTTAGTTGTCTTATAATAGCCATGTTATCAATATAATTAATATTTATATCCATATTGTATAATCAATTCAAGCTAAGAAAAAGTTGTAATATTTTTTATTTTTGATTGACAGTTTTTGTATTATTTATTATGAGGTTAAACTTTCATAATTTCAATAATATGATAACTATAAATATTATAGGATGTTCAATTTTATAAATTACTTGTAAACTGTCTGTTATTTAAGAAAAAAAATAGTTAAGATAAAAATTAATGATTTGGAGGTAATCACAATCTGGTGAGCAATTTTTTTATTGATGAACACGGTTATGAAGTTATATGAAGGTCACCTTCACTTTTTTAAATGGGTTAATATATTTTTAAAATTGTTTTTTATACAAAATTGTATCAAGCTATTTGTGTCGAAAAATTATTGGTTTAGGAGATATTTTAACTTTAATCCTAACTTTAATTTAACGTTAGAAAAGATAAGGGTATTCGTATGTTTATATTCTTCTTGTCTTTCATATATAGATTTTAAAAAATTCAAGTTAAAATTCCTCCTAAACCAATGATTTTTCGACATAAATAGCTTAACACTGGAACTAACAAAATAGTCAAAATGACCAATTCTTATAATATAATATATAATATATAATATAAATCTATAATATAATATAATATATATACTATAATATATATATATACTATAAATCTGTAATATAATAAATCTATAAAACCTCTTTTATAGAAATAAAATAATTTTACAAATTTATAACTGCACGTTTTTAGGAATTTGAATGTATAAACAAAATCTTATATTTTTTGCAGTACTATAAACTTTTTCCTCCTATTTTTTGCATTTTAATTACTCTGATATAATTTTGAAGTTAACAAAATTTTGTAGGAAATAATGAATCCGATAAATACATTTTAAGAACATATCAATTTATTTAAAAAAGATCTTCATACGACTTCTATGCTTTCAAAAATTATATCTGATTACGACCTCCTGGAAACCTTTCTTATCTGATTTGATGATTTTATGTAACAGATAGTTCATAAATATTTGCATTTAATGATTGTATGAAGTATAGTAAAAAATAAGGTAATTAAAAATATAGAATTATTTGAAAAATGCAGTAAGATTAATCGTAATAGTTATTGATTATTGATTGCTCTTAATTAAAAATTTTATTCAAACGTTTATTTATTTTAAATATTCATTTGCAGAAGGAAACCTATTAAATATTTAAAAAATTTAACTTAAATTTTTTTGTATTAATGGTTTTGTTGAATCGTAATTGTAAAACCAAATTGTTATTTTTAATCTCGGTTTATTATCTCATTCAGAACAAAGGGAAGAAAGATACAGAATTGAAAAAAAGTAAAAGTTGAATATACGTTGAAACATTGTTACACAGTTCTCGAATTTTTACATCTGAGTCATGCTCTCGTTTCACCAATAAAAAGACGTTCAATATTTTTGCAAAATTTCTAGCAGAAAATTGAAAATTGAAACGTAAAATTATGCATGTTGGTAATTTTTCACTCTCTCAAATTTAAAAAATTTATTTGTAATAAAAGATAAATTAAACGAATTAGATAAAAAAAATAAGGTAATTAAAAATATAGAATTATTTGAAAAATGCAGTAAGATTAATCGTAATAGTTATTGATTATTGATTGCTCTTAATTAAAAATTTTATTCAAACGTTTATTTATTTTAAATATTCATTTGCAGAAGGAAACCTATTAAATATTAAAAAAATTTTTACAGCACTTTTACTTTTTATATTTTTATCCTTTCTTATTTTCAGAAATTTTCAGATATTAGTATATTGTACATTTATATTTTTAACCTTTTTTCATACTTATTAAAAATTTTAAAATCGTCAGATATTAGTAAAGCTATTGTTTTCCAGTATTGTATTAATTCGACATAAATAAAGTGTTCCCCGTATCTTATGATTTTAAAATTCTTCGACATTCTTGACCTAATTATGTAAATTTACTGTCATTGTCGACTTGGGAGCTGGGTGTAATATTCCCGTTCGTTTTCTAGTAATACGTAGCATCGATTCAAGCACCTTTAAATAGATTCCTTACTTTTGTTTACAACGCACGTTTGGAACGGATAAGTATGTACATATACTTAACTCGCGATATGTTCCAAATGATTTTGTTGTTGTTCTAAATTTTATTAATTGCGAAAAATATGAAATAATGAATTTGACGTAGAAATGTTGTAAAGAATATAAAAATGTTTTAGAATATTTTAAATGAGATAACGAAGTTTTACAGCGAAGTTTTGTTGCGAACAAAAATATTCTGTAAATTAGAGAATTTTCAATTTTAAAGTATTGTATATGAGGATCATAACAAATTTTAACTTATATAGAATACCGGTGCATGTATATTTTTTACATGATTAATATTAAAAGATGATAGAAAGAGACTGAAATGCTTTCATAGACGCATACTATATTTTTCAAATAACAATCTAACCCAAACCGTATATTTTTCACTCTGCTACGTTCTTTCGGTCATTTTTGACTCACCTCTCTAAATTTCTACACATTTCTACAAAATTGAAAATCTATTTTAAATTTAAACTAAATTTCATTTTTAAAAAATTCTCATTAACATAGTCATTAGTGTTTCGATTAAGTTTAAATTTTTTCTTAAAATATTAATATATGAGTACTTTTCGTTTGCAAAACCGAGGATGTAAGATTGAAGTATAAAAATACGGGAATCGTTTAATTAAATATTCTTTGCACGAAAGTATTAAACTGAAACGTTCGAAAAACTAATAATTCACCGGTCTTCAAAATGAATAATCCATCAGTTGCATAAATTCCAGATATTTGGACTTACTATGATAAGAAATATTCAAATATTCATAGATCATTAAGACAAGACAGCGATTTGGGTCAACTGGTACGAACATAAACTAGATTATCTCGATACTACTTTTATGACTGCTATAATAAAACAAAAAACTTTAGAACATTTTATGGTATAGAATAATATATTTTAATGAGAAAGTCGGAAATGTGGTTCACTCAAAAGATTGATATAAAAATATGTAATGCGACTGAAAAGAAAATTACAGCCTATATATAAAATTACCGTTTTGCCTATATACCGTCGAGATCCCATGAGAAGTAACATTATGATTAGACTGTGGATTCATATTTTTGCTATAAGCTTGGCGAAAACTTATTTTACTAAATATTATTGAAAGATATTTTATGAATTGCACTGTAAAATTTTCTATAAATGCATAAAAATCCGCAGTCTAATTGTGAAAATATAAATGGACAAATTAAAACCATGAAATCATTCAGTCTTTTCGTCTGTATATTGACATATTTAATCTTTTAAGCAAAAACAAGCAAATTTCTAAAGAATTTTCCATGCTTTCGAAGTTTTCACATTTCTTCTTCTTTATTTCTTTTTCTTTTACGTCGCACCGACAGCGAGGTCATTAGCGACGACGGTGGTATTAGATATGTTTGTGTTTTTCAGATATTTTAAAACATTTTATACGTCATTTTGAGAAGTCAGGTTTATGTTTGCGTT